TTTTTTTAGTTTTCACTTACTTCTCTGTCAGTATCTTTACACTTCATGTACCCAATTATCTAGTTTTCAAGTTTTCCCCCTGTTTACGTCTGAGTTTTAAAGCCTCCCGGGACACGATTTAGAAAAGCATTGTCAACACGGGGACAAGCAACGCTGTTGTGTGCCTGGACGGATGCAACGTTGCCTGCAATGGAATGGGTCACTAAGCGTACACTACAACATGACAGCCAACCAGGCATACGTCTGTGCCAAAGTAGTGTTGCAACTGAGACTCGTTTACAGCGGGATGTGATTGACAGCTGGGCCAAAGGGCCACTGGCTGCTTCCTGATTTCCTTTTCACTCGAGGTGTCCTCGGGGACTTGGAATTCATGCTACGGTATATCTACAGAACAATTTATGGCATTAATGAGGATAAAAGGCAGACTGAGCACCATGCAGGTTTATGCTGCTCGGAGTTTTACAAACTATCACTTACAGTGAGATATAATTAATCTCTCCCAGTTTTCATTAATTCCTCATACGTTAAAGCAGAAATGACAGTCTGCTGCTATTTTTTTATTTTTTATTTTTTATTTTTTTTATGCAGAAGCCCATAGCTCTTTGATGAGAAAAGGTAAGACGCATCAGTATTTTATTTTTACGGCTGTGATTGATGTCACACACTGCTCTTTATTATTTAAAACGGGCCTACAGCAAGGCTTTGCGCAAAAACAACATGTCACAAGCTATTAATGCTAAGGAGTTACAAATTATTGCAGGATCCAACGTACAATCTCTATTTTTAAACCTAATCCCAACGACGGCGTACAGTGCAGTCTTTCCTGCAGCTACTTAAAGCGGCGGCAGCTTTTAAACAGATATTTGTTTAGCAGTTCTGACAGCATTATGGAGCTTTGAAGATTTGTTCCTTTTAACTTCACCTTAACTACCTCATACATCTGGTCAGGATGCGTTCTCTTGGCTTGTGCGGTAATTGTTTGACACGTACTGTTGGAATAATGAAAATAAGATGCAGATATTCTTAGATAAATGAAAATGTTGACTTGGGAATGATAAAAGTGTTCAAAATGGAATTCTAATGAACTAAAAAGTGTGTAGATGTGAGATAAAAATGGAATAGTGTTATATTTTACCCACGCTTGGCTTTGAGAGCTATTCTTTTTATATAAAATAGTCGTCGCCCTCCTTCCAACTGGTGTGGATTCCTTGCAGAGAGTAATGAAGGAGTTTCCATATATATATATTTATTTATTTATTTTTTTTGAAACAAGTACTATAACTGTGCTGGAACAAGTCTCTGAAATTTGTTGCTATCACTGAGATGTTTTGAAATGTGCGCCTCCTAAAAGAGGCCTTGCTGCTATTTCACAGGTCTTTATGAAGGACTGTTTGATCCAGTTGATACCCTTAGTCACTTGTACTTTCTTTTCAAATTTGTACGCAGCGTACTGCAAATGCATTTTCAGGAATCCAGGGCCTGATTCCGTGTCTGCTTGCAAAAGAACAGGCTCTGCTTTTTCCTTTCCAAGGTTTCGTCAGAAAAACAGACTCAACCAAACTAGTGATTTTATTGAAACAACTGATTTCTTTCAATCTTATCACTGAAACATTTTTTGCAGTACTTTTATTATGGACAGCCTTCAGTTTGAGGCCCACAGTGAACCTTCTTATACCCCTGAGTTGATGTTGGCATATAAGGCTTTAAAACATCACTGGCTCGTGGCTCGGCTCATAAATATTTTCACTGACCACAAGCTGCTTATATTTACCAAAGCAGAGATTACATGCAAGTTTTTTTTTGTTTTTTTTTAACTCATACTTATCACATGAGCATCAATCATTATTCTTAACCAGTACATGTTTTGTTTTTTCCTTTTTTGATAAGCTTCAGAGGACATAAATTATATAGAAAATGTGTCTTTTGACTCTTTTACATCTGCTCTGTTTGCAATATTGAAGGTTGTTTTAAATTTATTTCTTTGTATATAATTTAGCTTTTTCTTTTATTACACTACATTCAATAAACTCAAACTAAAGGAAACTAGTTTATAGTTAGAAGGTAATAAACTGTGGGGATTTTTCTCAAAAAAAAATGGAGAGGTCACCTTGTGTGGTTGTATGAAATATGAAGATTTTATTTTATTTTATTTTTTTTGGTGAATTCTTTACTGATTTTTTTAACATATACATTACAAACTTAAAAACTTTGACCAGTAAAGCTAAGTCAGATGTCAATGTATTTTTTGTTCTTTTAATTTTGAAATGTTTAATCTTAATTGTAGGAACTTGCTACTTAGCCTGTAGATGGATTTAGACGTTTTATGTGTGATATTTCTCTTGTTGTGAATTATGTCTTTCTCTTATGTGTCTGCTGTATGCACTTGCACTTTGCAATCTACCACCAGGGCTTGGCCTCTATTTTAGAAAACTGTGAAATACTTGCTAAAGAAAAGATCACTTATTCTAAGAGTGACCTTTTGATTTCCAAAACCAGCTGGAGGAAGTCAAATATTTAAAGAAATCATACATCATTACATTTAAAATAGGATTATGTGTTACATCTGCTTTCGATTCTAGTGTTGCGAGATGACTTCCGTCAGAACCCGCAGGACGTGGTGGTGGCGGTTGGGGAAACTGCGAGTTTTGAGTGTCAGCCTCCGCGCGGGCATCCTGAGCCGACCGTATTCTGGCGAAGAGACAAAACTCAACTGGATCTCAAGGATGACAGGATCATGGTGGGTTCACTTTCCAAAAACGGACATGGTGGTAACAACAAAGACGAATAAAATGTGAAGCTATGTTGCCAACCTAAAAAAAAAACAAAACGAAAAATTCATAGAAACATGTCAATCATCTTGTTTGCTGTTTAATGAAAAACTGCATGTTAACCTTACGTTTACGTTAATAATGTGTTGCGGTTTAACATATTTTGCTTTGAACTGGTTAGCTAATTTTGCCTTCTTCAGGTCCGAGGAGGAAAGCTGACCATTTCAAATACTAAGAAGAGCGATACAGGGATATATGTGTGTGTGGCCTCTAACATGGTTGGAGAAAGGGAAAGTGAAAAAGCACAACTTTCAGTATACGGTAGGAAATCTCTTCTCCACTCGGTGTATAATGTAAAAACCGGCTAAGTGCAGAAATATTCACTCGCTCTCTATGCACCGACAACATTTAACCCCTTTGCCTAATTAACACCTACGCTGTATGCGATCCTCATTTAGAAAGACCAGCATTTATGCAGCGCCCTGTGAACCAGGTGGTTCTGGTTGATGAGAGTGTGGAGTTCAGATGTCAGGTCCATGGTGACCCGCCGCCTGCTCTGCGCTGGAAAAAAGAGGATGTGGATGTTCCTCGTGGCAGGTGAGGGCCGGGAGTGAATGTGTGCAGTCCATAATAAGCACGTCTGTCGGTGAGCACTGCAGCAGTGAAAATGAGAACATTTAAGCACTTCTAAGTGTTAGGACAATTAAAGAATGATACTTAAAATTCAGGATTCGAAAACGCATGTCAAACATTTTAATTAGCAGCACATTTTCTGCTCAAATAACACACAAAAGTTTGAGAAATGGGTGTGTGTGTGTGTGTGTCTGGGATGTGATGTGTGGATGCTCGTGTAATTCAAACCATATGAGGCCTCTACAGTACAACATGATGCAATCCAGTGTAAGAACACACACAACTGATATCAGAATTTACTGCAGAATGTCTCACCAAACACTCTTACAGATGGACTGGATATTAATAATTTCAAGTCATTGTTGGACTTTGTGGGGGCTAATCCATAACAGTGGGCAACATTAAATACACTGATCAGCCATAATATTATGACCACCCTCCTAATATCGAGTGGTTTTCTCTTTCTTGTTAGAAACATGTCTTATTATTTGACGCTGCAGTCAGATGTTATCTGCTGGCTCAGGAAATCAATAGAAAATTCATTAAAGAAATAGCGAATTGAATGTCTTAACTGAAATGGAAATATGTGCCGTGTCTACGAACCATCAACGTCTATTGCAATTATTATTTTCACTTTTTGACCAAATTGAGACATGTCTTTAAAGGCAATTCAACCTTTTGAAAACATATGCCAGTTGCTGGCAGGGTGCTCTGTTGCGCTGTTAGCTTATCTATATTTTGCTAGCATATTTGGTCAATAAAAAGGGTTCATCATGGTGGAACCCGTCACAGTAACAATGTACAACAAGCTGCAGAACTGAAACAAAAGACCAGGTTATGTCCTCCTATTGTTCAGGGATATAGTAAAGACTTTTGGATATAAAAGCAAGGCAGTAGTGGTCAATGGAGCAGCACATAGAATAAACTGTGATGCTTTGTTATCTCCAGCTATTCTGTCAGACCATTATTAAAATCCAGTAATATACAAGCATTTAATACAAAGTGGACGCCTTGCTTCATCTTCACACAGCAAAGTGTTTTTTTTCCCCAGCTGCCGTTGAACTAATTCTCCTTCTCCTGACTCCTTTGAAGAATTTTGCGCCACTCAACAACCTTATTCTGTTTTTCTCTGTCACACCTGTTTTAATGTTCCTGTTTACCTTTAGCATGTTGCTCATATTCTCCTACAAACCGCTGGGACGCCACTGCAACAGAGTGGTGAATGTTTTTAATTTGAGCAGTTATTAGTAATAATGTCGTGGCTGATATGTTTCAGACGACCATTGCTCGGCTCTGTGTCTGGCAGCCTGCTGACCAACCTGGGTTGCACCCTCTGACTGTAAACTATGTCCTACTTCTAGAACCAGTTTCCCTCACTTTCCTCCTTTCACTTCTTTCATTCTTTTCCAAAACCTACCAGCCTCCTGGGACATATGTATCTGGGTCAGGGATGCGCTGTGAATGGAGTCCTCACCAGACTCTGGATGGACCTCCATAACTACCCCCACCAAACCCATCCCCCACATCGATATTCTGCCCACACCCTTTTGGAACATCTTTTCTCGAATGTGACTTTTTCTCACCCTCTGTAGCATTTCTCTGCCTGACTTGTCTTCCATCTTTGAATCAGTATGGCTGGCTAGACAATTTCACAAGATCTTTCATGCCAAAGGGGACCCAGGAGAGGGAGACCTAACTCCTTGCTCCCCTACTCATTTCGTCTCTTGGCCCTTCGAGACGCTTATCTAAACTCGGCTGGCTGAGATGGTTCTCTCACTCTTAACTGCGCTGCTGCCGTCTCACGTTTGCTTCGCTGATGGATACACTCAAATACATGGAACATCTCTATGAATTAGTTATGTTTTACTGCTTGGGCCAATCATCACATTCAGTTTGTCAGACTGTGCCACTCCCTTATTGTCAGACTGTTTGTCTGTGCCTCCTTCTCTCTCTCTTTCTCTCTCTTTCTTCTTCTCTCTTTCTCTCTCTCTCTCTCTCTCTCTCTCTCTCGCAGAGACACACACTCTCATGAACTATACAACAACCCACACTACAGTGTGGGCTCTTTATGAATATTGAAATAGTGGAACAATAAGAGTTCTAGCTGAAAGCCCCTTTCATTTTTCTGCGCCTTCATCTCTGAGTTTAATTGCTCTTCTTTTCATCCCATCCCCAGCAATTGCCTGAGAAAGTCTGTTGTTATTCTATCAAAAAAATGACACTTCCTTTTTAGAGCTTCCATGCAAAACGTCTCACACACACAAGTTTGCACACCGTAATGTTTGTTTTGCTTCACAGAAATAACTTTTGAATTTGTATTTACATGATTTAGAGTCTTTATTTGGAATACACTTGTAATGTTTAACGTCTCACACCGCTTCTCCAGGTATGACATCAGATATGACAGAGAGGACTCCCTGCTGAGGATAAAAAAGGCATCTGTCAGCGATCAAGGGACGTTTACGTGCGTAGCAGAGAACCGTGTGGGTAAAGCCGAGGCCTCGGCCTACTTGACCATCAGAGGTGGGCAACTGCTGGTGCTCTCTTTATATATATATATATATATATATATATATATATATATATATATATATATATATATATATATATATATATATATTCTTTCTGTTTTTCTTTTTCTTTTTACCAAAGTTTCTTTTAGCCATGTTTTTGGGAAGGTCACAATATGTCTCTCAAAACTTGCAAAACGTTATATTTCTTTTTTGATTCATAATTTGTTTCTGACTCCACACATACAGCTAAGGCTTTCAAGAAAGTTACAGATGACAATTCTTTTTTTTTTTTTTTTTTCATCTGGATAACTTGCCTGGCTAACAATAGCACGTTTACTCTCATGTTTCGATATGACTTGTTGATAGTTTGGCTATTAACATGATACTCCATTGGAATTTGGGAGCTTAGTTTTGTCAGGTATTCCCAATGTCCATCATTTTAAAAAAGCCTTTAATGCCAGTGACGGTAATTACACATTGTTTGTGTCCCTCCATCGAGATACATGAAGGTTCTAAAAGTTAATAACTTCAAAACAACTTGAATTATTCAGCACACTATTTCTTAAGGGTGACTATCTGAGAAAATGGTACATAGTAATAAAGTAACTAATTAACTTTATGATATGGGTTGAATGATCCATTTGTTATTGTGTTGTTATATGAAAAGCACAACGGCAAAAAGTAAAATATTTGGTGCCTTATTGACTTGAACACAACTATTAAATTTAGAAAGTGTTTACATAAGTATGTGTTTAAAAAATAAATATATGTTATGATAAAAAAAATCATATACCTTTAATTTCACTATTAATACTAATTAAATTATTGAAATTTGTATTTTAACAGCAGAAAGCATATTTTTGGTGTGAATTCAGGGATTCACTCAAACCATTGCTTTTTTTTTTTTTTACCATGGCAGTCTCTTATCAGCTCATACTAAATATAGTTATTGAAAATCTCTATTCAGTTGGTTTGATTTTATTTATTGGTCTTTAAATCTCCTTTTGTTCTAGGTCTGTATCACACGCTGCACATCTGTTTGGTTATCAAACAGATCTTTCAACTGCATACATGTATTTATTTTTTATTTTTTAATAAATTTTGGATTGTGGTTTTCTGTATTGCTGTGAGGGTTAGACTCCATGCCATCCCCTGCTTTGGTGACAGAGTTACCCTTCTTGTCCCTGAGCTTCATGGATGGAAACCCAGCTCCATTTCATTCATTTCTGATTTTCATTTCTTTCTTTTCCTGTCCCTCTGTTCTGCTCCTCTGCTTTCCTTCTCTCTGTGTTGCGTGTCAATGTCACCCACACCATTGTTGTGTCACCAGCTCGCCCCGTTGGTAAGTAAGAGGTGATCCCATTGTGCATGAGCTTATTTTATTTCTCGTTTTTGTTGTTTTTATTTTTCAATCACAGACATGTTCAGTATGCATGAGCTCTTGTTGCATTCCACAAGCACAGTCATCAAGTATTTTTTTTAAGACATGCATATCTGCTCTATCAACCTCTGACTTCCACTGGAAAACTTAATATGTATATTCTGAATTCTTCCAGTATGTGGGTTCAGGTGTGGTTGACGTGTCATAGTTCAAACACTACAATAGAGACGACGTTTGAAAATTTATGACATTTCAGTGGCTTGTTTGAAAAGTAGAAATAAGAACTAGTTCAATGAAAAGAAAACACCCAGTGCATGAAATCCTTTAGCTTGCAGCTCTTCGTCTAGTAGAGATACACATACTCATGATATAGTCTAACGGTAACGAGACGTCTACTAGAATACTTTGCCTTTTTATGGTTTTTTTGTTTTGTTTTGTTTTTGTTCATTTTCAAACTCAGAGGCACCTCAGTTTGTGGTGCGACCTCGGGACCAGATTGTGGCTCAGGGACGGACGGCTACCTTTCCCTGTGTGACCAGAGGCAAACCTCAGCCAACAGTCTTCTGGCAAAGAGAAGGCAGCAAGGTGAGCAATTTGAAGAGGTTGGCGCTTGAGTTGGAAAAATAAAGCTTTCATACTTTACTTAGACTTGTCAAGTTTAAAAGCTTGACTTAGACTTGTCTTCTACAGACTTTGACTTGTCTTCTAAAGGCTCAAGACTTAACTTAGGTTTGTGGAGGGACAACAGGGCAACTACTTTGTTTCTGCATTTTATAAAAAAAATTCCAAACATTTGAGTAGAAAATATTAACTTTGGATCTTCTTTGATAGTATTTGACTCTTATTTTGACTCGTATTATCTGCAATTCTATTCTTTAATAGTATTTGAGTCATCACATCTTTAGGCTTAAGATGTACTGTAACAGTTCAATGCAGAAAATGGCCCCGATTTTGAAATTGTGGCAAAAGACCAGTGTTTTTGTGGCATCTGGACTAACTTAGATTAGTTATATCTCAATATCAAGAACTCTTTGATTTATCAAAAAAGGAATGGCGTCGCAAATATTAAATGAATATTCCTTAAAACACAATTTGTGAACTTTTGTAGCTTTAATAAATTCCTAAAATTAGTAGTTTTAACGCTTTGGCATTTTGACCAAGTTGGCTCATCTGTTATGTAGAAGTATTAGATTGATCATCTAGACAGTATAAGAAAAGTCAAAACGCTGATTGGGAAAAATTTTAAATCAACATGTGATGTTGAAAATCCAAGTAAACACACATCAGATTTATTTAAATCAATGTAAAAGACTATTTATATTCTAAAGTGAAGAGATTTTTGGGGATTTTGTAATCAGGTCCGGTAATGCATTGAAGCATCTCTATTGTCGCTGCTCCATTTTTGATAGTGGGATTAAGGGTGTGAAATTAAATCCCTAATCCCAAAATATACAGGATAAGGTCCATTACTTTTGCAGTGACATCACCATATTTCTTTTCTTTACAATTTCAAATATCAGCTGATCATCCAACAACGGCACTTCAATGAAACATTAATACCACCAAAACGTCAGAAAATATTTTGCTTAGTAATTTATATTTGGAAAATTTGAATTCCATTTTGACTTTTGCTTGCAAGGTTCTGTCAGCCAGGTGTTTTCGCTCAATGGTATGAAACTGAATAATGTTGTTTTAGCATCATTGTTGAAGAATTTGAATTGTGTTGATGCTATGATGTCCACATGCGAGCTATGCATTACATATGAGACCTGCAGCATTCATGGGGTGGAAAAATCTGTGCCAGCCCATTTCATCTGTTGATCAAATTGTGAATGCTTGAGGGTCAAAGGTGTAGAAAAGTGATGCTGGAGCATCTTCCTATACAGTTGAAGCAAAATGCCTTAAAGTCCAGGTAAATACACTATAAATAAAAGAATAGATAATATAAATGAAGAGATTAAGTGTATGACGTGACTTTAATCAGACTTACCAAAACATAAGCGTTAAACCTCTCACTCTCGCTGATTTCAACTTTCAGAATATGTGGCACATTTCTCTTTTGCTTCAACCGTTGGTGCACAAACCGACGTCCATAAAGAGCTAGCGCTTTAGCTAAAATGTTTGGATTAAAAAGGAAACAGCTTCGACTAAAAGGATCAACCCAGGTCAGAACAGAATGTGGTTCTGTTCCACATATATTTAATGAAGTGGTCATTTATTATCAATCCACGCCCATCTGACGAGCCAATTCACTTTGCGAGAGACAATGTCATGTGCTGCATTAGCGTCATTAGACATAATGAAAGCAGGCTAATGTCCTTTCCTGTCCATCAGTTGGTCCGCCTGGGGTGCAGAGGCACAGAGCCCTGATGCCTCAATTTCATGGTCATGAGTGCAGGTTATCACAGCAGGAGCAGTACTTTGGTGAGAAACTGTAATTCTAACCAAGCAAAAGAAACATTGACCCCCTTTATTCAACAAGATTGCACATAGCATTTTAGAATATCAGGTTCTGCAGACATGTATTGATTGTAAAACTTATTTCTTTGTTTCCATTGTCATCCAAAATGGATTTCAAAACATGTCTTCAAGAAGAACATCTGAAACTTTGACACCAATGCACATCAGAATAAGACACTAAATAGATTAACTGGTTGTGACACTTTTACACTATTAACTATATAGAAACTAAATCATGCTAGTTCAGTAGTTCGGTAATATGACTTGGCTTTCTTTTATGCTGCTGACGTTCACCAGTGCAGCTGAATTTTTCATAATAAAGTAGTATGTATCTGTCAATACATGTTTTGTTTATAAAAAAGAAAAGAAAACATCTAATCTCAATTTACATTTTTTTTTCCAAACGTTTGCTTTTGTAGGATCTGCTGTTTCCCAATCAACCAGCACAGGGGGACGACCGAGTGTCTGTGTCTGTAAATGGAGAGCTGACCATATCATCTGTGCAGCGCTCAGATGCAGGCTACTACATCTGCCAAGCCCTCACAGTGGCAGGCAGCATCATGGCCAAGGCCCAACTGGAGGTAGCAGACGGTAAGGCGGGACCCAGTAGCACATGCACACCGTCCTCACCTACAGGAAAAGAAAATGATTTTTAGTTATGCGATCTACTGCCGGAGTAGTGCTCGTTTCAGTCCCGAGCCGCTGATTAGTGGGTCGACGTTTCTCTACTTCAGCAATATTGACGAAACTCTAGCACCTCGCTAGCTACTTGCATTATAAATGGAGTGTGTGTTTGATGTTGGTCTAGCTTCACCTGTGATCCCTTTGGTGCTTTCATTTCATGAGAAACACAAACACATAAGCTTTGCAGCACGGCTGACGGTGAACAGAAGCATCTGCCCACACTTGTAGTTTCCTGACAAAGATCTCTTAAGTTCTAAAAGCCAGTCACCCTCAGTCATCTTTTCACTTCCAACTCTCTGTGATGGAAAAATTAAAAGGCAGAAACAGTCTAAAACCCCCTTAAAAATGTCTGCTTTGTGAAGAGACACTTTACACTTTTTTATTTTATTTTTTATCAAAGCTTTAATGTCAGCATTAAGTGCTCAGCCGCTGGCAGCTGGGAGTTGTTTCCACTCCTCATTTCATGTGTTTCTTGGCTTTTTTTTTTTTTTTTGTCGCCCACACATTATTAAATTAACATCTGTGGAAGTGGGTTTTTTCTTCTTTTTTGGGGGAGTCAGAATGACTCGTGTCCTGTCACTCAGAGGAGACAGATCAATATCAAAATGTTAGGTGTAGAATGCGAGCGATGGGAGAAACGTCTGTGACAGATGGGTGTAAACAGAGATGGAGAGTGTTTGCTTGAGGCCTGGGTGGATTTTGGAAGTTTGCAGAGTTCCATTTGTGGAATTACTTAAGATTATCATGTGGCGCATCGTACAACAGGGTTTACATGTGGATAAAAAGTTTTTAAAGGGGCAAATATGGACTATTTATCACTGAATTAAATTTGCATCTGACAAAATCGATTTAAACTTCAAAATATGGCATTTGGCTGGATTAAAATATGCATTTATTCATATGTTCAGCATCTTTGTATCAAAAATAACTTACGTTCATAAAGCCACTCTATTTCATCATATCATGCAAAAGAAAAGAGATGTTTATGTGGGGAAAAAAATGTGGGTGTTAATGCTTTACATATATGGTATTGAGTGAAAAACAGCAGAAACAAGGATTCTAGGGTGTGAGAGTTACTTCTGACAGAAACATTTTATTACTTTGGTGGTTAAAGCTCATTTCGATACAGAAGTGGCCCCTGAAAAAGAGCAAGACTTTAATATCGTAGTTTGCTCTGCAATCACTTGGGATGATGATGAGTTGCCTTACAGAAAGGATATTTTCGTAGAAATGTTCCTTCTTTTTCCAGCAAAGACCAATCTTACGATTGAAAAAAGAAATTATTTGCTTGCTCCCAGTGAAAAAGGGATAAGAAAGTTCAAAATCTCTCGCTGTCCATCCATCATCAATTCTTTTGTTCCCGATCCATATCTCATAACCTTTGTCGTATGTTGAATAGTAGATGGACTGGAAATTCAAGATGTTAGTTTTTGTTTTTTTTCTCCACATGTTTATTCTGGAAGTCTGCAACAGTGTCCACATTGCAGTAGACCTGTCCACCTCTTTCCAGTTGAAACCTGCGGCCTCACTCTTATCCAGAAACGACTGAGTTCTTTAACACATCAGCGAATTCTCAGCACAGTGTCATTCTGAAGCAACTCTCTACATAAAACCAAACTATTAATCTCCTGTAACAGTCAGTCGCACCTGACTTCCCTTCTAGAACATTATGCTGCACTTACATGTACCTGATATTCTGCTTGAAATGCTGTCTGGCTCATTGTGCTGTGGGACTTGTGATAAAGGAAAAGACTTCAGGAGCATGCTGTACACTCTTCTGTGAATGGAGACTCACTTGATAACAGTGGTGAGGAAATTGGAAGCAAGGGGTAGTTACGAGGCTAGGAGAGAGATTCGGCACTCCAGAAATTACTGTTTCAAAGTCCGGAGGCTGTATCCTGCATGATATAACAAGCCCTAAAAAAAAAAAACTAAAAAAAAAAGAAAGAAAAGCTTTAAAGGAAGTGCCTCATTGTTTGGCTTGGCATGCTAATTCAGAGTTTAGTTTTATCTGTGTTTGCTAGCGAATGGAGGGGGGGGACAAGAAAGTGCAGCCATGAGTCACACAGTAGGATGAGGGAGGACAGGCATGAATGTGTGAGAGGTGTTATAAAGAAGCCATGGTAATTAGCACCACGGGTGAAGCATCGTTAATCCTCACCTAGTAATTAAAGCTCAAAGGTGTGTGATGCAGTGCCATGAGTACACCACCCTGATGCAGAAAGGCTGTGCAAAACAGTCACTTCCCCTCACAACAAATCCATCAGACTAGTCGCTAACATGTTGGACGTGCAGCCGCTGATGTAATTATTGCAGCTGCAAATTAACACCTTGCGAGAAGGTCAGCTACCTTTTCCAGAACCGTAACAAGTAGTTAGAAGAGCGAGCTGCTGTTTTGCTCCATGAAAACCAAATAACAGTGGTATGAAAGAATTTGAATAACACCGTTTGACATCGCCTTTTACCCTCAGCCTCCAAGGGCCGCCCACCACCCATCATCCGGCAGGGCCCGTCCAACCAAACGCAAGCTCTGGGAGGCGTGTCCGTCCTCCGGTGCCAGGCCTCAGGAGATCCAGAGCCGACAGTCACCTGGAGGAAGAACGGGGCGAATCTGCTTGGACTAGACCCACGATTTTCCTTACTCGAGCACGGCAGCCTTCAGATCCAGAACACAAGGGTGGGTTAGAGTGGATTTTCCCAAAAAATAATAGTAGCTTATGTTTCTTTTTGACTCTGCTTATTGTTTTTTTCATTGTTTTTTTTTTTTTTTTTAATTACAAGATTGTGTGTCTCGATAATTGATTTCACCCCTAATTTTGACAAATCCAAAGATGCCAAAAAATCCTTAACATAAAGCAGAAATCATAAGAGATAACTTATCATTTAGTCCCCCCTGACTCTGGGTTAAACTGTTTTATAGAAAGCATTTGGCTGGGGAGCACGACGCTTTCACAAGCATCCCTTTCAGTTTGTCAAACCTGAAGTGTTAAACATAATTGCAGGAAAACAAGTTTCACCCAGAAGTGGTTCTGTCAGGTCCTCTAACCTGATGCAGCAGATGGGCTGTTAGACGGAACAATCTCAGAAGTCCTCCGTCGAAACCATCTGGAAAATAGAGACTTTCAAAAATGCTTGTGATTGGATGGAGCACATGGTGGGAGAAAGCCGCTGCCGTTGACGACAACGTCTAAAAGCTCCACGAAACTGACAAGGCAAAAAAATGCTGATGTGTCCCAACAAAACATGAAATCCTTTGCTTTGTCACAAGCTTGAGTCTTATCTTAATTCAAAATCAAAAGCCACCAGAAGGACAACAAAATCTGGATTATTATCATTGCTTTATTTGCGCATCAAATCCGATGCTGCACTTTGAAGAATAAAGGGAGATTTGTTTGTCAGGTGATCTCAGCCGAGCGTAATTCAAAAGGACAAGTGCAGTCAGCTTGCTTTTAAAAGATGAATAGCAAGTATTGATTTTTATAAGTCGTTAAACGCTGCTTTTTGGTTTAAATCTCTGAGGCAGCAGTTCGACTCAAGGGCTAGGGTACAGGAACTGGTGAGTCGAGTCTGAAGGTGGTGGTATAATGGAGAATCCGCTGCACACAGTGTCATATTAAAGCACCACTCTTATGTCACTTCTTCCTCCTTTTGGGAGAAGGAGGTAGAGGAGTGACGTAAGTCTCTCTAAACGTTGCCGGTATTTTAAAAAAATAAATAAAAATCGTCGTCGTATTTCTCATTTCCTGTGTCAGCGCTGGATATGGGAATGTTGATGGTTATGGGAATGGCATGTGACCACTATTGGAGAAAATCAATTAAGAAAATTAATGTGAGCTTTTAATGGCATCTCTCTCTTTTTTTTTTTTCATTGGCCAATGGTAAAGTTTCCACTTATCCACTCTACAGATTTCCCCGTGCCAAATGCAGGCCAGGGGAGGTTAATGCATTTTTACTGTAGTGCTGGCTGCAAACCTCCTTCAAAAGCCCAGACTGACGCAGGAGCTTGTAAAAGCCATCAGGGATCACAGTTACAAAGGCTGTTGCACTCAGCTGAACACGGGGACAGAGAACAAACTTGAAAGCAGTATCATGTGTGACATGGATCTGTGGAAAATATTTATGGGCTGGATTTAATCGGCGGCGCTGTCTTCCAACTGTTTGTTTTTTTAATGTTGTGTTGCAGCGCCGGAATTAGACTGTCATGTAGGACATTAAATATGAGCTGAATAATAATAATATCATTAATAATAATCATAATGTGGCTTTCACAGCTGTCTGACTCCGGACTCTACACCTGTGTTGCCACCAGCTCCAGTGGAGAAACATCTTGGAGTGCCTACTTGGATGTCAAAGGTCTGTGGAATATCCCGTCTGACAGATTAACACACTGCCGCAGTAACTTGGAAGCGTATTTATCCTCCTGGAACTTTTGTCACGTTTTGAAACTTTACATCCATAAACCTCTGTTTTTAAAGGCATTTTATGTGGCAGGCCTGACACCATGTGATGCATAATTGAAACGTGAAAAGAAAATACATGGTTTTTAGATTTGCTTTTTGTTTTTTTTGTTTTTGTGAGAAAGGAAAGCTGAAAAGTGTATGTATTCAAATACTTTTGTAAGTACTTTGCAGAGCAATTTGCTGCAAGATCCAAATCCAGTTGTAAGTGTTTGGAGGGGGGTGTTTCATACCAGCTTTGCTCATCTACAGACTAAAGTTTTGCTATCTTTTTCTCTGTGAAATATTTCAACTTCCGTCATAGTGAATGGAGAGTCTATGTTAATAGCAATTTTAAATTTCAAATTCTTTAGACATGGACAGTACAGTTGCATACCACACTTTTCAGCTATTTCTAAAACAAACATAAAAAATAAAATCATAAATCATTTTCCTTCAGCACAACTTTCGGTTGGTCTATGACAAAATCCCAATCGATTGTAGCGAAGTTCATTGTTGTAATCCAACAAATTGTGAAAAAGTTTGAGGCGTATAAAGCATAGCGCCTTCCCTTTGAGTTTGAGAGTTATTAATTCAGCCTCTCTCCCTTCCTCAGACTCCACTGACCTCATGGATTTCATGTCGCACAACACAACCGCCCTCCCTGGGCCGCCCTCCAAGCCAGAGGTCACTGACGTTACCAAGAGCAGTATCTCATTGTCATGGGAACCGGGGCCGGAGGCGGGTTCCCCAGTGTCCTCCTATGTCATTGAGGCTTTCGGGTATGTCTGTGACCTATGCCCACGAGCAACACTTAGTGACCCAAACTTTCATGGCAACAGCAGATGTACGGGGTCTCTGTGGGGAATTCAAGCAAGTCAGGGCGGGTTCAAGCAAAACAAGTCTGCAATGTAAGAGTGAGGAAATGCTCATGTGTTTGGGGGAGATCTACAGATTTTTGACCAAAGCCCATCTCTGGGCCACAGGAGCCATCTCCTTCCTGAGCATTATGATAGTGTTGGACATCCCCATTATGTCTACATTCGGATTTGACATGGAGAGATTAGCGAATCCATATCAGTGCAGACGGAGCGTCTGTAAGTCATGTTATTTTTGGAACTTTGTAGCAACATTTGAGCAGCACTTACATGGAACTCCATAGCAGTGGCGCATACGTCCGAAAAACCTATGTTCTTCTGGCTTACCGGGAGATCAAATGATGTATGCCGCATTATTAGATGCAGAGAAATGCTGCCTATCTTCCTCAGCATCAGCAACACAAGGCACATAGGCAGTAGTCTATCGCGTGTTTAATTTGATTCATTCTTTATTACAGTCAGTCTGTGAGTAACAGCTGGCAAACAGTGGCCGACCACGTGAAGACCACCGAGTTTACCGTCAAGGACCTACGACCAAACACCGTGTACCTGTTCATCATACGAGCTGTGAATGCTCAAGGACTCGGGGATCCAAGCCCAATGTCTGAGCCCGTCCGGACGCAAGGTGAGGAGATAAGACTGAACTGCAATAAATCATTTGTGTTAATTATCTTTGACCTACGTGGCTGCATCTCTCTTTTTTTCCCTTCTCCCTCAGACATTAGCCCCACAGTGCAGGGAGTAGACCATCGTCGTGTGCAGAAGGAGCTGGGAGACGTTGTGGTCAACATGCATAATCCTGTGGTCCTCAGCTCCACTTCAGTGCAGGTCACGTGGACGGTGAGAATACGTAAAATTAGGGGAAAAAGTTTAAAGTTGAGCATTTTATCCCTCTTTGACAATGTGACGAAAATCGGCTTGAGCTTTCTGCTTTTGCGTGCCTGTGTGTTTTGAGCAAGTTGGCATATGTGGGGCGAGAATGACATCACTGGTACACATTCAGTGTGAACACCTGCTGTTTAAATTGGTTTGAGGTGAAGCTAAAATAAAGACTAATGTTTGTGTTCAGGCTAAATACATCACCATTAGGAATTGCATGCCCCACCTTTGAGTGCAGACTGCAGGCAACACTTTATCCAGGGAATAATATTTTACTCTGCTGGCTGGGTCTCTATGGCACCTTCCAGAGTAGTACACTTCAGATAGGTTGGAACCAGACTGTTACCTAATGCTTTCCAAAAATGGCATCCGTGTGTGATAAACCAGATTTTTTGAAACAGACTGGTTACACAAGCATTTGATCTTTGTCCATTTTTGATAAGAACCAGCATATTAATTACCGCCACAGGTTTAATTGTCAAAGCCGGATATGAGCCAGGATAGATTTGACCTCATGTTGAAGAAAGAAAAAAAAAAAGAAATAATAAAAAGAACAAAAAAAACTCACTTTTGCTGAATGCAATAAAAGTCCCGAGAGAAGGATTGCATGCATAAATTTACTGTTTTTCCAATTTTTAATATTGTATATCTAATAACATTAATTTGGCATTCCGCTACACAAGATGAAAATAGTGACTCTGGCCCAGTTTCCTGCTGGTTTTCCTCATTTCATACTTATTAGATCACAGATCCAATCTCAACTCAACCATTTCTTATCCACAGGGTCATTCTGGGGATATGCTAGAAAAAGTTCATGTTTTTCTGCGGAAGAAGATTGTGTGGGTTGTCCACAGTTTGTCAATTATAGCCGCAAATTTCAATAATTGACATTTAATGTCGTAGATCAATACCATATAGTGCATAATGTCTGAAGAGGAGGGAAGTTTTCATGCAAACACATTTGTTAAAGGTATCATTTGTAAATAAAGACCTGTGAAAGCTTCACAGGTTTGTTAAAGAACTGGTGCGACAGCTGGTAGTCCTCCACCAGCCTTAATTTATGTAAGAGTTGCTCAAAGACTGAAGTTCTGGAGGGAAAATAAACGAATGCAATGTTTTAATTTTTCTATCTCTTCACAATTATATGGTGTTTTGTTTTT